GCACAGCGACTCAAACACGGAAGCTTCTCGAACTAACATGATTGAGTATGCTGGTTTCGATATGGACCCCTACATCATGCCCCCTCTGTATCTGGCCTGCCCAAACCTGATCGCCAACAACACGCGTAACCGACAACTGTACTTGACCTCCAACACCACCATTACCAACTCTTTGGGTGTTCACAAGTCTGGATCGCAGACCAACCTCGCCGACAGCGCAGCCCTGAAAAACGAGGATTGGTACCCGAGCGTGTTCATTCCCGCCATCAAGGAGTTCCGCAAAGGTGATCTCGTTTGGGACCCAAAGTCGATCAAGGATGAGGGTGAGGACCAGGACCACATGTGGTTCACATTCGGCGACGACGTTTACGATCTGACGGACTACTTCAAAACCCTCGATGTCAACAACGATGGCGCAGAGTACCAGTTCCTGGACTCCAAGTTCACAGATCTCGTAAAGAGCAAAGCCGGAACTGACCTCAAGGAAGACTTCGAGAACAACCTGAACGCCACTGCCCAAGCATACAACCTTCAGTGCTTGCAGAATACCTTCTACGTAGGTAAGAAAGACTTCCGAGACACCGCAAAGTGCAAGGTCAACGACTACATTTTGCTTGCCGTCACCATCGTGCTTTGCTCCGTCATCGTCGTCAAGTTCCTGGCTGCGTTACAGCTTGGGTCCCGCAAGCGTCCAGCCAACCAAGACAAGTTCGTCATTTGCCAGGTTCCCGCCTACACAGAAGGAGAAGATCACATTCGCAAGGGTCTCGACTCTCTGACTGCTCTGGCCTATGACAACAAGCGCAAGCTCATATGTGTTGTCTGCGACGGAATGATTGTCGGAGGTGGTAACGACCGCCCAACTCCTAAGATTGTATTGGACATTCTCGGTGTTGACCCTAAGGTTGACCCTCCTGCTCTACCTTTCTGGTCCGTTGGCGAAGGAAGTCAGCAGCTCAACTACGGCAAAGTCTATTCCGGTCTCTACGAGTTTGAAGGCAACGTCGTCCCGTATCTCGTTGTCGTCAAGATGGGCAAGGAGTCTGAGCAGTCCAAGAGCAAGCCTGGTAACCGTGGTAAGCGTGACTCCCAGATTCTGCTCATGAGCTTCCTCAACCGTGTCCACCACCGCGCCCAGATGAACCCGCTCGAGCTAGAGATGTTTCACCAGGTCAACAACATCATTGGCGTAGACCCGGAACTTTATGAATATCTCCTTATGGTCGACGCCGATACCATGGTCAGACCTGATGCTCTCAACCGTCTCGTAGCAAGCTGCGCCAATGATTCTAAGATTGCCGGTATTTGTGGTGAGACGAGTCTGGAAAACGAAGAGAAGTCTTGGTGGACCATGATTCAGGTTTACGAGTACTACATTTCTCATCATCTCGCCAAAGCTTTCGAGAGTTTGTTTGGCAGTGTCACTTGTTTGCCCGGATGGTAAGTTGAGCTTTATCGACACATGGAACCTTACTAACAAGTCCTAGTTTCAGTATGTATCGTTTGCGAACGGCCGACAAAGGCAAGCCTCTCATCATTTCCGATGCGGTCATCAAGGATTACGCCGATTGTGTTGTCGATACTTTGCACAAGAAGAACTTGCTTTCGCTCGGAGAGGATCGCTACTTGACAACACTGATGACGAAGCACTTCCCAACGATGTCCTACAAGTTCATCCCCGATGCCTACGCTCTTACGGCTGCTCCCGAGACATGGAGCATTCTGCTTTCACAGAGACGTCGCTGGATCAACTCCACCATCCACAACCTGGCTGAACTTGTCTTCCTTAAGGACCTCTGCGGCTTCTGCTGTTTCTCCATGCGTTTCGTCGTCTTCATCGATCTGTTCGGTACTCTCGTCCTCCCGTCGATCTGCGCTTACCTTGTATACCTGATCTACATGGTTGCTTCTGGCACTGGTCAATTCCCCTTGATCTCGATCATCATGCTTGCTGGTACCTACGGTCTGCAGGCTCTGATCTTCATCATCAAGCGTCAGTGGCAACACATCGGATGGATGTTGATTTACCTCATGGCTTTCCCCATCTACTCCCTGGTTTTGCCTCTCTACTCCTTCTGGAAGCAGGATGACTTCTCGTGGGGTAACACGCGTGTTGTTATCGGTGAGAAGGGTCTGAAGAAGGCCGTGCTTACCGAAGATGAGGGATTCGACCCCAAGTCTATTCCCATGATGCGTTGGGACGAGTACGCCGAGCGCAACGAGCTTCCCGGGCGCCGTGGCCTTCCTGGTCAGACGTCGGAGAAGGGCGGTTTCAGTGCATACGAGGACGACACTTACGAGATGAACGACATGCAATCCGTCTACTCGTCGGTCAAGCCTGCGTCGACCATCATGTCCAACATGCACCACATCTCTCACATGCCGCCTCAGTCCCCAGGCCCCTACCAGGGCATGCAGACGCGCCAATCGACGTACTCCAATCTCTCGCGTTATCAGGATCACCCGCACCAGAACCCCCATCAGAGTCGTCTCATGTCCATGGGTGGCATGAGCGATCAGTATGATGCGTCGCCGTATGGCAACCGCCCAAGCGTGGGTGGCTTCCAGAGCTCGGACAACCTTATGGCGTCTACGCCTCCCATCCGCGGACGCAGTCCTCTTGGATATGGCCAGTCGCGCCCGGGCAGCACAGTCAACTTCCAGAGCATGATGAACGGCCCCAGCGACGCAACGATTGTGCAGGTTGTCCGGACATGTCTGAACGAAGGCGATCTTGACTCGATGACCAAGAAGCAGCTTGTGGCGCTTGCCGAGCAGAGGCTGCAGACACAGCTTACTGGTGAGAGGAAGATCTTCCTGAACCAGACGATTGACACGGAGCTTGCGCTGATGGGCTGAGAATGGGCGTGAATGCTGGGTGTGTTTGCGTTTGTGTTTGCATTAGTGGTGTTATTTTTTTTATACTTTTGACATTTCCCTTGGACGGAACTACCATGTCTTGCAGATAGTCGCTCTTTTTTCCACGGCGCAGTATATGGGAAAACGGATAGGGACCCGCACAGGCGTCTGCTTGGTCGGATTAAGATGACACTTGATTTAGCATGGACTGTACAGATGACGAAGAGTATTATATAGTAATTCGAGAGTGTGCTACCGAAATGATGTGTCTACCAGCAACGTTTGTTCCAGAGTGAGCGGTGACAGTGTGTTAGAGTGAGAAGTGTGGAGTAATGGAGCAACGGACTGGAGTGAGCAACGCGTCATTGCCCCCTGTCGAGCCAACCGCCCGAGCTCCGCCGCGGCCTCCGCAGTCCAGCCCAACCCACGCCGAAGCCTCGAAGCTCACATCAACACGCACGCCGCCCACCGCCCACAATGCCGCCGAATCGCATCGAACAGGATGAAATCGAAAAGTACTGGGAGATCTTCAGCTCCCTGTCCAACGGGGGCACCCACCTCGACGGCGTGCAGGCCGCGCCGGTGCTCAAGAACTCGCACCTCCGCGACGACCAGCTGGAGCGCGTATGGGACCTCGCCGACGTGGACAACGACGGCAAGCTCGACTTCGAAGAGTTCTGCGTCGCCATGCGTCTCATCTTCGACCTCATCAACGGCGTGTCCTCGGACGTCCCGCAAGCGCTGCCCGACTGGCTCGTCCCCGAATCAAAGGCCCACCTTGTCCAGGCCACACGCGCGCTCTCGGGCTCGCAGACCGCCTTCGAGACGATCGAGGACGACGACGACACCCCCGGTCTGCGCGACGGCTTCGACTGGTACATGAGCCCGAGCGACAAGAGCAAGTACGAGGAAATCTACACGGCGAACCGCGACGGCCACGGCAACATCTCCTTCGATTCGCTCGCCGGCCTGTTTGACTCGCTGGACAACGTCCCAGACAGCGATGTGCGCTTTGCATGGAACCTCGTCAACCCCAAGGCCCGCGAAAGCGTAGCCAAGGACGCGACCCTCGCCTTCCTCCACATCCTCAACCAGCGCAGCGAAGGCTACCGCGTGCCCCGCAGCGTCCCACCGAGCCTGCGAGCGAGCTTCGAGAAAGCGCACATTGACTACGATGTCAACCACGCCGGGACAAACCGCTGGGCAACCAGCAACGACGAGAATACGAGCACCGGGCGGAAAGCAAAGTTCGGCGACGCATACCTGACGCGACTGGGCGTCGGCGACCGCGCAGCCAACTACGGCGCCCGCGCAAAAGGAACCGACTTCGGCGGCCGCACAACCGAGGACTGGGAGGAGGTACGACTGAAGAAGCAACTCAAGGAGCTCGAGTCCAAGATTGCCGACGTAGAAAAGGAAGCTGAAAACCGGCGGCATGGGCGAAGCAAAGACTCGACCCCCGCGCTTGTCAAGCGCGAGCTAGAGAGCTTGCTGGACTACAAGAGAAACGTGCTGCGGGATCTAGACAACGATGAGGGCGGCGCCGTAAAAGGGCTCGGCGGCATCAGGGAGGAAATCGACACCGTCAAGGAGCAGATTGAGGGGCTGGAGAGCCATCTGCAGAGGCGCAATGACGTCCTGGAGGATCTGAGGCGGCAGATTGACGACGAGAAGGCGCGGTGAGCTGAAGTGGTGCGGGTGGACGTGAATTTGAGCGAGCGAGCGAGTAAAGTGGGGTGATATGAATAGACAGCATGAATCAAGCAGTAATGAAACCACCTCCACGTCCATGGTTTCTATGGGCGCATATCCATACACTAAGATTGCATGTGTACGGCCTTTCTTCTCTACTCCTACACGGAATCAACCCAACCCAACCCATACCATCCCACCAGATCACTATGCACCAGGAACAAGTCTGGCGAAACACCACCCAAATGAAAGCCATGTGCTAGCATGGTCATTGTTTAGGGTGTAGGGTGTATAGCAAAAGCAGAGGCAGATCAAAAAACGAGCCAGTAGTTCAATGGGATAGACAAACACGCAAGGAATTCCCTCTCTCGTAGAGCAAGAAGCAAAAAGCAACTCCACGCTCCCCTATCCATCTTCCCAGCAAAAAGAAAAAAAAGTAAACATGTTATCTCCCCCGGAAAGGCTCGAACTTTCAACCTCCTGATGTGCAATCAAGCGAGTGTATGCGGATAACAGTCAGACGCGCTAGCCAATTGCGCCACGGAGGATCAACTCATATTTGTGATAGAGCTGGTGGTTGCGCCACGACTTTGGATGGGGGAGTCGAAAATAAGATAAAATATATAAGAAAAGGTTGCAGGAGATGCGGGGCAGGCTGTTGGAGGGGTCTGTGGGGCGTGTGGACGTTAGTTTGTTGTATTCATTGGACTGCTGGTGCGGTGTTCGGCTCATGTAGCGGCTTCCGAATCATGAATAGAGTCACTCAAGTAGCTGCCGTTTCACAGAGTCTTCACGATCATTTACATGGGCGCAACGTATGCGGTAGACACTGTGATTGATTATAGTAGACCGTATGCCCTTCGTTTCTCGGCGTCTTTGCTCTTTGAGGCAATGCAGAGCTGTAACTGTCTTTGCACACCTCTCAACCCCTTGCTTGCACTTCTGTAGGTTAGCGAGCTGACGCAAGACTGTGCGGTCTTCGAGACGCTGGCTCGGGCGTTACGTTGAAGTACGCGTGGCCGGGCATCTAGCAGCGACCAGACTTAGCGTCGAGTGCGGTCGCAAAGTTGTCGTTGACACGGTCTCAGTGCCGCCTTTCGCACGCTTAGCACGCCATGTGAAAGGTCAACAAGCAATTGTCATCGCTTAGGATTTTTCGTTGTAGGTGCTGTCTGTAGCATCGTAATGCATGATCAAGTCCTGAATATCAGTCGCCCGTAGCGGGCCTCGTGGTTAGCCATGTCGATAAAAGCGCCGAATGAACAGCGGAGGCGATCAAGTTGAACGTCGAAACGATTTGCGAAAAGGCGGAGACGAGCTGTCACGCCGGCTATTATCAACCACATCCTATGGCTTTGATGTAACCGACGTTGACGGCTTCGTAACACACCTCTGCTAAAGAGACGAAGGGGGGCCATACCAATTGACATCGCTAAGCTGTAGCTTTCTGGCACGCTGGTTGCTGCGGTTGTTGCCGGCCTTGTCAAGACGCGGCTGCGCATATGGGTTCGGGGTCTTGTCCAGGGCTTGCTGAGTATCAGTACGTTTTCTATTGGTATTAGGCGAGAGGATGTAAGAGAATGGCGATTCACCAGTATCGTCAACGTCATCCCGAGCCTCGTTGTAGTTTAGAACCAGGCTCTTGATGCGTTGCTGCTCCTCTTTCTCGGCTTGTTGCTTGTTACGCATGGCAACAGCAAACGTGGAGTCCGAGGGCAAGTCAATCGATCGTGTCTGCGTCTTGTTTCCGCGTTTGCTGAGTAGTGAAAACTTCACTGTGTTAGAGGGTGCAACTGGAACCAGCACTTCGTTCACGCCGTCCTCGGGGTTAGCGTTTGCTTCACGAGCGCGGCGCATCGGTAGTGGGACATCGAATACGGGCTTGCGGTCGTACTTGCGGGAATCAGCGCTCTCTGACATGAGCTTGGCAAGTTCTCGGTCGAAGTCAGCTTCGGCCTCAGGGTCACGCTCCTCTTCTTGGCGTGTCACAACAATGTGCTCTTCTTCATCATCAGAGAGGTGTTGCTTAGCAGGCTCATCATCGTCAGTGTCTTCCTCGTCTTCGTCAGACGACTTGTCTTCGCCCTCAGGCACAACCACATCGTCGTCCTCGGGACCGTCTACGTCGTCGTCAGAAGCAGATTCGTCCTCGTCTTCAGGCTCGGCGGTCTTGTCAGTTGCTGTTGTCTGGTAGTTTTGCTTGACGGCCTCGCCGAAGACGCGAGATGCCTCGTCCAGATCGGTAATCAGCTTCCACTGTGGCCGTACAAGAGCATAAGCATCTTGTACAATGAACTCCACATCCATCGGGAGAGCATCCTTGGTGCAGACGTAATACTGCAGGTACGTCAGAAAGAAGTCGAGCTTCTTCTTGGCTGCGCCCTTGTCATAGTACATGCCACATGTCTCAAGAAGACTGCAAACCAGGCGAATACGGAAATAGTCGTCCGAGAGGTCCAACGGATTATATAGGTCAGGACGAGCGTATCCACCCTGCCACCCGTAGTTGAGCAGCTTGTACAGCGTGTCAAAGACAAGTGGAGAGTCGACAAGTCGGTAAATGTACAGTTCGCCAAGGAACTTCACCTCTGCAATTCTGCGCTGATTGAATTTGAAGTCGTTCAGCTCAAGCCCAAATGTAATAGACTCCAGAAGGTCATCGATAACGGCAATGGCAAAGTCTTGGTGGTAACGGTGGATCGTTCCAAGAATGACAGCTAATAAGTGGATGTTACTGTACTTGATCTTGCCAGGCTTGGAGAAGATTTTGCGTAGGAGGTTAACGACCTCTTCTTCTTCCCAGTGCATCTTGCGAATCTGCTTGACAGTCTTGTCCAGGGTGCGGCGAGTCAAGTCCTGATACATGATCTTGCGCAAGAACAGCTCAACCGGTGTTCGCTCCTTTTGCTCGATGGCTGCGCGCTCTGGTGGGTTGACGTAGTATATTGCGTTCTCGATCAACATGCGCTCCTGCTGGCCAAGCACCTGGGCGCTCTTTTTACGCTGAAGTGTTTCGAGGAACGAAGCCATGCGAGGCGACGTGTCTGGATTGCGAAGGAGATATCGTCCACAGTTTTCGAGTAGGTTGCAAATGATCTCGATATTCATCCTCGAGAAATCGTCCAGGCTGACTTTGAGGCAGTGGAAAATGACGTGCTCTGGAACAACGCCAAACTTGGTCAACTCTGCCAGATAGCGTACGTTTTGTGTCCGCACCTGTCCCAGGAAGTCTTTGGACTTGCGACGCTGTAAGCTCCGAAACTCGTCGTCCAAGTAGGAAACAAGACCCTGGGCAACATCGGGCATGTACTTGCCCAGAGTTGCAATGAGCCTCGAGTAAATTGGCAGCAGATCAGAACGACCCTTAGGAATCTCCTGAACAGCCTTGATTAGACGGTTGCGCGATGCTTTGGAGTTGAGGAAACAAAAGTCAATGGCAGTCTGGTCCACTGCATCCTTGGTGTTGAGCTCTGGTAGACGTGCAAGAACTGCATCTACCTGCGTTCCAACAGATTTGTTCGCAATAGCGGTGGACTGGTCATCGGCATCTGCGGCTTTTACCGCTTCTGTGGCTTCTTTCTCGGCAGTCTCTATCTTTGCCTCGATCCGCTTGCCGACCTGCTCGTCGGTGTCGATCTTCTTCTTCTTGCCTTCCTCGAGCAGAATACCAGGAACTCGGTCTTTCAAATCGATCAAGTTTTCGTAGAAACGGCGCTCGTCCTCATCTTCCCAAATGCCCGGTCCATCGCTACGACCACGCAGGTACTCCCCAGCCTTGATGAGACCAATGGACCCATCTCCGGCATTTGCGGCACTGTCCTTCTCCTTCAGGTCGGGCATGTCCACCCCCAGTGCATCAGCCACAACCTGAGCATTTGTAATCAACCGTTCTTGCGCCTTCATCTGCTTCTCGTAGTTCGCTTGACGGTCTTCGAAAACCTCTCCAGACTTTACATACGCCTCGGCGTTCTTGCGACCTTGTGCAGCCAAGTGCTTTTGGTCTCGCAACAGATGTGCCTTGACATCTTCAAAATAGCGCGTAAGAATATGTTTGAATCGTTGTTGGAGGTCAGCTGCAATAATGGCCGGGTCTTTGCTGGGCTGATCGTCGTCTTCGGTCGCGGAAGTATCCTCGTTCTGCTCTGCATTGGTCGTGCCGTCTTCGTTGACTGTCTTGCGACCTTCTGCGGATGACGTCTTGGCCCCAAGAATGTCCCAGGCGAAAGCTTTCACGAAGATGACTACCAAGGGGAGGTTGATGTGCTCGCGATCGTGACCAAGCATGTCCTTCAGCACTTCCAGTGGAAACGGCTCTGCATCAGCATTCTCTGCGCGAGCCCTGGTCTTGGCAGATGCTTCCACGAGCTTTCCGTTGTCCTTGTTCTTGCCCGCTTCTTCAGGACGAGCAACGTCATCCAAGCTTCGCAAAACCCCTAACAGCCATAGTTCGGTGGCTATGCGCAGGAGCACACGCTGACGAGCTAAGCGCTCCTTCTCTTCTCGGTCGCGTACTTCTTGTGACAGCGCTTTCAGATGCGCTTTGTCTGGAGTTGCAAGCCCCCTTCCAATGTACCAGCCAATGTATCCGGTGAACTCTGTAGGACCGAAGCGCTGGTGGAGTGCACTGACAATCTCGACACCTGACGCAATCTCTCCGGGGGTCTTGAGCTTGCAGAGGCCTTCGTAGCATGCTGAGATGATCTCGGAGAGGTATTTGTGGAGGGACAGGGTGCGGATGTCTTGAACGAATTGGGACTGGGAGGAGGCGTTGATGGCGGTTCGCAGGCGCTTGATAAATGCGGTGTTCTTCTTCATGGACGAGTCGAGGGTACCCTGCACAGGGAAGACATCTTGTTGCTATGTGAGCGCGACAGATGGTGGGGCGCACTTGGCTACTGACCTTGCTCGCCATCCCACGCTCGAAAGTTGAGCTCACGAAGCTCTCCTTGGTGATGTCAGTGTCCTGCGATTACCAGGGGAAAGCTACACGCACGCTTTCTTGGCCTTTCCATGGTGGAGTAGGTAGTTGCTCGGTGGTGGAGGGGCGGATGTCGATAGCACGGGTCGGCTATGATACGCGCACATGGAATATCGGAGCTATGTCGGGCGCGGCTTCTGCGTGCATTGGGTCGAGCGCAGCGCGGGCAAGCTCACGGCAAAGTAGTCGTTTATGCGGACTAGCAGCAATGCAAGGCGACCTGTTTGCGCGGTCGTACTGAGGGTGGTTTGGAGTTGGTTTGCAGGAACAGTCCGGCCTCGCTCTTTCCCCATTAGGGATGTAGCGTCATCTTCAAACGTGACTAAGCAGGTAAGAGTACTCAGCCTAATTATTCGAGCCTCATCGTAGGATCCGTTCTTGAAAATCTCCATAGGCAAGTTTGTCTATGTTCTTGTATTTTTGCGGCCACATTGTGTTTGGCTGGACTCTCAGCTCTGCAAGGCGATGCAGTCAGGTCCAGCAGAATCTGTAGACGCTTTTGCCATCTTGCAGGGGAATCGCAGTATCCCATGCAACTCTTAGAACCCGGTGCGGTCTCTCCACATATTA